CTCACTTGCAGCTATGAGCAGGCTGCACTGAGCTCACACGGGTTACAGACAAGGGTCAGGTTGTTCTCTTGCTGCAAAGCAGCAGCTTCTAAGGGCTTTGGGGGCACTAACAGGTCTTAGTTGTCCAGACCAGCCTCACACAGGACTTCTACCTCTGCCCGTGGGTCCAGTAGCTGTGTAAGATCAGGCCTGGGCCACTCAGTCCATATCTGAGCCATGCTGCAGAGGTACCTGTCTTTAGCCCTGACTCTGGCCTTGCTCCTGGGGTGGGCTCAGGTCTATGTTCAAGATAGCTTATCTCCAGCCCTGTCTCCTGGGACTTTGGATCTTTGTTGTAGTCATTTCATAGGGTCATGGACTCGTGGAGTGGCTGGGGTTGGAAGGGACCTTCAAAGATCATCCAGTCCAACCCCCCCACCAGGGGCAAGGACATCTGCCACTAGATCAGGTTGCTCAAAGCCCCGTCCAACCTGACCTTGAACACTTCCAGGGATGGGGCATCCACAGCTTCTTTGGGCAACCTGTTCCCGTGTCCCCAGTCCTTTTCTGGCCATGTCTCCTGGAAGGACCCCGGCCCTGTGTTGTAGCTTTGTCTCCAGTCCTGTCTCCAGCCCCATCTCCTGTTGTGACTCTTTGGAGCTACCTCAGACCTGATTTCACAGCTTGTGTTGTCTGGCCCTGCTGCTGGACACCATTCTCAGCACCCTGCTCACATGCTGTGGGATGGGTGCTGGCTTGGTGAGGGCCCTGCATGTGCTAGGGCCACACTGGCTCCTGGCTCCCCCTCCAACCCCAGAGGATCCCCATTCCTGCTGTGCGAAGGGACGGCTTCGGCTGTGGGGCAGGGGTCCGTGTTGCCTGGCTCTGGCTGCTTCTCTTTGGGGCTGCAGACCAAGCACGGAGGAGGAGGTTGCGGCTCCTCTCCCTCTCTGGTTCTTGGTGCTAATGTCACACACATGGATCATGTCTCTGCTGCATTGGGCAAGTCCCTTTTCTTCCTTTTTATAAACTTCATTGTACTTTTTAAAGATGTTCTTAAGGTCTGTTCTGTTCATTATTTGGTCTCCTTGCAGTACACAGATGGATTTGAAGATGTACACCATTTGCAGAGGAGAAGCGATGAGCTGTGGGTTTGGGCTCCCTGCTGAGCCACTCAGCTAAGTCCCTCCCTCCAGCCCCCGGTACCACAGGAGGGGAGCAGGCTCATTTGAGGCTCCTTGTGTCTGTCGAAGGCAACTTGCTTGTCCCCCAAGAGTTACAGCAGTAGAAACTGCTGCTGGGAGAGCCCGAGGCCGGGAGACTTGGCGACGCTGCCCTGGTGCTCTCCCTGGTCTCAGTGAGGTCTCGGTGCTCCAGTTCCCACACAGCACCACAGCTTGCCGTAACCTGGACCAGTGGCCCAGGAGCCATCCTGTTACCTTGAAAGTTTGGTGTCCGGACACAGCAGGACCGAGCTCATCCCATTTTGCTCTCTTCCCATGCATCCTGGGCTGCCTGTCCCAAGCTCCTGCCAGACAGTCCTGGGTGTGCTAGGAACAGTGCCGGCTCCTGTAGGGTCTGTGCCCTGGAACCCTGCTGCGAGAGCCAGCTGGGCCATGCTCTCAGTGTCACTCAGCTGTTCCTATCAGTTATTAAAATAAAAATCCCATTAGCTTTTTAGATTATGAGATATTAGTCACATAAATAATAGAGGAATTCCTTCCTGGCCGTGGGCAGTTAACTTGCAGGAAGTATTTAATTTCAAGAAAACCAATAAAAGAAAAATTTTGTTTTAAGGAATTTCCATTTTTCCCTCCTGGCCACTGTTTTTTCTCTTGTTCTTTTTTTATTTTCTATTTCTCTTCCAATTGTAACTGGTTTTCAGACACCTCAGCAAATGTCTCCTCCTCTTGTGCCACCTGTCCGTCACAGTTCCATGTTGCTTTCAGAAGTCCCATGAGCTCCAGTCTGCAGCTCTCAGCTCCTGCTCTCTCCTGCAATGTCCCGTTTCTGCTGGTTGCTCTGGACAACCTGTTGCAGGTGCTGGGGGAGCTGCTGCACTGGATCCAGCCCTGCCCGACGCAGCTGGGATGACACAGGCTTCAGACGGCACCTCTTGGGTGCCAGGCCCCTTCACAACCCTGTATGTAGGCTCTGTCCCCTGTGCTCGGGGCAATGTCACAGCCCTCTAGATAGTCCTGCTCCTTGGAGGCCTTTGGGAGAGCTGCTCCCCTCAGCTGCCATCCCTTCAGCCTACTCCTTGCTTCCTTGCCTCCTTGCCTGTGCTCCCAGGAGGAGAAACAAATCTGGTGCGGGCAGCAAGGAGCCATGCAGCACTCTCACTGCCGGGTGAGGAGGTGCAGGCATGAGGCAGATCAGGGGAACGATTGCAGCTGCCCACTACACATCTTGGAGTGTGCCCTCCAACCTCCCCCCAGAGCTCCAGGTCCCAGACGGCGTATGCAAGGGACCCCAGCATGTTTCTGCACCCTGCTACCCTTCCTGGTCTTGGTGCTCTGTTTATCACGTGGCCCAGAAAGCATCCAGAAAGCTTTGTTACCTGCTTTTGATGAGGAGGCTGCACATTCCTGGCCCAACCATGGATGTAAACACTGTTGGTCTGGTGGGAAATCAGAGCTGATGAACATTAGCAGATAACAAAGCCTTTGTACTGGAGTCTCCTGCTCGCCAGGTGTGCACGGTTGGGTTTATTCCCTCTCCTTTCATGCAGCCTCCTGGTGCCAGGAGACAGCAAACAACCTCCACGTGGCAGGCCCAGAGCCTGCAGGCTCCCACATGTTCCTGGCTGCCACCACCACCAATATCTGCTGATATGGCATCGTTTTCGTGAGGTGAAGCCAGAAACGCGCTTTCCCGTCATGGACACTCAGAGCGCCCATGCGTGTGGGGCCCCAGCAAGGAACAGAGCACAGGAGCTCCAGGTGGTTTCTCATTTCTGCATCTCAGGGCAAGAGAACCATGGACTCACAGAGTGGTTTGGGTTGGAAGGGACCTTCAAAGATCATCCAGTCCAACCCCCTGCCAGGGGGCAGGGACATCTGCCACTAGATCGGGTTGCCCAAAGCCCTGTCCAACCTGACCTTGAACACTTCCAGGGATGGGGCATCCGTCTCACCACCCTCATCATAAAACATTTCTTCCCTATGTCCAACCTAAACCTACTCTCATGCAGTTTAAAACCGTTGCCCCTTGTCCTGTCGCTGCAGGCCCTGGTCAAAAGTCTCTCTCCCTCTTTCCTATGAGCCCCCTTTAAGCGCTGAGCGGGCGCAGTAAGGTCTCCCCAGAGCCTTCTCTTCTCCAGGCTGCACAACCCCAACTCTCTCAGCCTTTCTCCATAGCAGAGGTGTCCCAGCCCTCGGACCATTTTGGTGGCCTCCTCTGGACCCGCTGTACCAGGTCCATGTCTGTCTTGTGCTGGGGACCCCAGAGCTGGACGCAGTGCTCCAGGAGGGGTCTCAGGAGAGCGGAGCAGAGGGGGAGCATCCCCTCCCTCAACCTGCTGGCCACACTGTTGGTGATGCAGCCCAGGAGACGCTTGGCTTTCTGGGCTGCAAGCCCACATTGCCGGCTCATGTCCCATTTGTCACCCACCAGCATTCCCCAGTCCTTCTCCGCAGGTTGCTCCCCGTCCATCCATCCATCCATCCGTCCATCCATCCATCCATCCATCTATCCCCCGGTCTGTGCTGGTACTGGGGATTGCCCCAACCCAGGTGCAGGACCTTGCAAAGAAAGAAATGTGTAATGAAGTGTGGAGGTGTCCTTGTTGCAGGAACTCCCCAGGCAGGGGAGTATGCACTGGGCCTGTGGGGGAGTGGCCAGGCATGGCTGGGTGGTCAGGGCCCTCCGCGATGCTCCCTGGAGCACTGACACACTTGTGGTGAAGGTCTGGACTGGGTTCAAGGTTTCGGGCACCTCCCTGGTCTGAGCCCCTGGTGCAGCACTGCTGGAAGCAGGGAACACTGTCCTGTGGGCTGTCCCTGAGCTCTGCCACATCTCCTCCAATCCCCCCCAGTCAGAGGTGCCCTGGACTCATCCTGGAGGATGTTATTGTCCCTTTCGATACCACTGACAACAGAGCCTGCGGGCAGCATGTCGCAGTGGAGCACTGTACCAGACCCCAGCCCTTCTCTGCCTGCCCTTCTGCTGGTTTTGGATTCATCAGGCTTGGTAAAATTGCTTCATTAGCTGCTCCTGCCCGTCTGCCCCTGTTTGCTCCTGATCACAGCGGTGGGATGTTTCCTGCCCTCTCTGCAGGTGTGACCTGCTCCCACTCCCCCTCCCCACTCCCACTGGGCAGCCCCAGCAAAAGCCTGCCTGGCACCGTCATCTCTGTTTAGCACTGTAATTTCACGGGTCCTACCTGGCTGTTATCCTGAAGAACACGCTGCAATTAATGGTGGAGGATCAGTATAACCCACAGAGTGATTAATACCTCTCTCCTCTGTAGCAGTGTGGAGTATGTCAATGGGGAGGGGAAGGCAACCATGCACAATGGGTGAATTGCTCCCAAAGGAGCTGTGGGGCTGAAGGTACCACCCTGAGGCCAAGGAGGAGGGCTGTGTTGCAGGGGGAAGGCCGGAGCCTGGTTTCTGTTATGCAGCTGCAGGGCTAAAACTCAGGCAGCCCAGCGCCTGCAGCAGTGCCTGCCAGGCCAGTGAGCCCTGATGAGCCCAGTGTCCTCGTGGCCTTGAACTGTCCCAGGATGGAGTCCTGCCCCGCAGGAATGGGCAGCTTGACCAGGAAGGACAGACGGGCTTTCCTGGGTGAGCTGGGCCAAGCTGGCAGCTTGACCCCCTTAAAAAGAGGGGTTGCAGGGCTGGCACAGAGTCAGGCTGCGGGATGGCATCACCTTGAACCGCCCAGTGCGCTCTCGGGGCTGGAAGATTTGCTCCACTCCACTCTCAGGAGATGCCATGGAGCCAGCAGAGCCAGTAGGACTGCGGGACCCGTGGCTGGGACAGGGGGCTCACAGCTGACCCGTGTTTTGTCACTTGCAGCTGGCAGGACCACCACCAGTGAGGAGCTGGAGGACATGCTGGAGAGCGGCAACCCGGCCATCTTCTCCTCTGGGGTAAGAACTGCATGTCAGCCCTGGTCCAAGCCCGGCACAGGCAAGAGCCAAGCCAGCCCCCTCGTCCTGGGGAGGTTGGCTGGTGGACATGCTGCCACGGTGGCTCCAGTGCAGGAGTGATGAGCACAGCCCATGCAGGAGGTGGGACCTGGGTGCTCAGGTCTGGCCTGAGGATGCTGCCTGAGCAGGGGCTGCGTCCTGGCTGGAGGGTGGGGGTTTGCTGCAAACTGCCTGGCTGGGGTGGCAGAGGGCTGCTCTTCCCGCTTTGGTGCCCCTAATCCTGGCATCTGAGGAGCTGAGCACGGTGCTCAGTGGCCCTGTCTTCTTGCAGATCATTATGGATTCAAACATCACCAAGCAGGCACTGAATGAGATTGAGACACGGCACAGCGAGATCATCAAACTGGAGAACAGCATCCGAGAGCTGCACGACATGTTCATGGACATGGCCATGCTGGTGGAGAGCCAGGTAGGGAGACACCGCGGCCCCAGTGGCCAGCTCACCTGGGGAGGTTGGAGGGGGACGGGGATGCCGGTGGTCCCCTGCCTGGGTGGGTGCTGAGGGGGACAAACTGCATCTGGGACTGACGTGGCTCCCACTGGGGCTGAGCTGGGCTCCCCACGGCCAGAGGCACCCACCCACCCAGCAGAGCCGGGGGCTGCTGCATGCCTGGGGCGGGAGGTGCAGTGATGGGCTCTGGAGGAGGGCAGCGGGTGGCTGCCACGCAGGTGATGTCTCCATCTACCCTGGAGCACTGGGCCCTGCTGGGTGAGCTTGGGGTGCTGTCAGCCTTGGTGGTCCTGCCAGGCTGCCCCTGGCTGTGCCGCTAGCCCACGACATCTGGCCCTTCGGCCGGGCGTGTGCTCCGGTGTCTCTGCTCACCCCTCTTCTTGCCCGCCATGCTGCCATGGCCTGAGGAGACCGTCAGTGGCAGGTAAAGCCCCGCTGAGCCCTTGCCGGTGCTGCATGCTCCGCTCTGCATGGCTGCGCCCTGCATGTCTGTGGCTCTCGTGTGGTGCCAGGGCCTGTCCGTGGCAGGTGGGCAAGGGTGGCCGTCCTGTCTGCCTTGGGGACAGATGTGGGGGATTCGCAGAGCCCCGGCCCCACTCTAAGGGCTAGCCTGTGACAGCACCCTGTATTGCCTGGCGGGGTGGGAGGCTCCAAGCTGCTCGCACCAGGAGCAGAGGAGTGCCAGGCTGGCAGCAGTGCTGGCAGCTGCCTGCTCTGCCCCAGGCATGGCACAGGTGGGAAGGAGAAGCAGCAGCTTTAGGCAATGCAGCCAGGCTGGCATGTCATGGACATGCGACAGGGGCAGCAGGGAGCCTGGTGGGCGTCAGTGCTTGTGGGGAGTAACACCAGAGCACCTCTGGGCTTGCAAGGCTCGTCCTCCCCATGCTCTCCAGTGTTAGACTGAGAAATGAACATTGCAGAGCTGCTGGCGATGACTCCCCGATTCCCTGAGTCCCTCTGTGCCATGCAGGAGGGCACTGAGCTTTGAGCCCCCCCAACCCCTGCCGACCCTGTCGGTCACATGAACTGTCAGACTGTCTCCAGCTACTGCAGGACCTGGCTGCTTCCCTGTGCAGTCAGGAGGGGGCCAAAGGAGGTGGGCAGGCTGGCAGGGGAGCTTGTCCCAGTCCATGTCCCCATGTCTGCAGGAGTCCACATCCCCAGCCCACCCCTGCAGCCCCAGGGGCAGAGTGGGGCAGGAGTCCCTGCAGTGCCCGGCAGTCCGGCCTCGCCAGCCTCGCTCCGGGGCCCTCCACTCTTGGCAGGGCACTCGTGCGGATCAGAGCGGTCGTCCCTGCATGTGCGTGGCTTTGTGAGCATCCCATGTGGTGCTGCTGGTGCTGTCCTTGCTCCCCCGCCATGCCTCTGGTTTCAGCAGCGTGCAGCGCGGTGTCAGTGTAGATCCTGTTGTGGCTTTGATGTCACCCGAGATATCAGACAGGGCGGCCACTAGGCCAGGACCAGGCTGGGGAACCCCCTTGACCCTCACCCTTGCTTGCCTCCCTGCTGGGATGTGCACAGAGGTCCCAGCCCTCTGGGACAGAGCCCATGGCCCAGACCCCTCACTCCAGGGTACCCCAGGGCACCCACTGCCTGCAGGTAACTGATGGTCCCTCTCTCTCCTGTGCAGGGCTGGTGGGCAGGGTGACATCTGCGTGGTGCTGGGGAGCAGCAGAGCAGGAAGGAGCTCACGTCTGCATGCGCGCGGGCGCGTGGGCTCTGTCCCCGCTCTGCAGGGTGAGATGATTGATCGCATCGAGTACAACGTGGAACACTCGGTGGACTACGTGGAGCGGGCTGTGTCTGACACCAAAAAAGCGGTGAAGTACCAGAGCAAAGCCAGACGGGTGAGTCATGGCACTGGCTGGGGCCTGTCTTCCCCTGCCTACACTGCTGACACCTCCGTCCCGGGGACAGGCCCCTGCCTGGCACCGCTGCCTGGCACCCCTGCCTGCCCCACTGCCTGCACGGAGGAGCGGGCAGTATGGTGCAGCCTCACGAGTGCCTGGGTACTGCTTTACCCCACACCACTGGGTGCAGCGCGGGCCCTGCTGGTGGCACCAGCTGAGGCAGAGCTCCCTGGCACAAGCTGCGTGAGCGCTGATGACAAGCCGTGGGGCAGGGGTGCTGCTTGGGGGGAGGAAAAGGGACAGAGTGGACCCTGTGGGCCAGGCCAGCTGTGAGAGCCATGTCCCTTGCCAAAAAAAAAGTAGAGAAAAGGCATGGTCCAGCTCTGACCCTGAGCGCACTGCCAGCTGCCTGTCCCAGTCCCCACAGCTGGTCCTGTAGCAGCTCGGCAGCTTGGGGACCCAGGGGCCACCAGCTCAGCTCTGCCAGCCCAGGGCTGAAGGGGGAGCTGGGGTGCCCATCCCTGCCCCAGGGCTGCCGGAGCCGCTCTGGCTCCCACAGTGCTGCTCAGAGCCAGGCAAACAGGAACAGGGCAGGTTGCAACCCCCAGCTCTCGGGGCCAGCCTGCCCCCAACACTCACAGTCCCTCTCCCCTCTCTCCCTGCTGGTGCTGGGACACCTGAGCAGAAGAAGATCATGATCATAATCTGCTGCGTGATCCTGGGTATCGTCATTGCCTCCACCTTCGGCGGCATTTTCGGCTAGACTCACCCCACGGGACTGTTTGTGTGCGATGGACGGAGCCGCGCGTGCCATGGGGCCGCAGCCACGCCGGAGCGAACCACGCAGCCCCGGAGCCTCCCAGCAGCATTTCAGTTTCTAATGCATGGTTGTTTGTGACGCTGTGTGTGCGGTGCGGTGCGTCTGTGTGGAGGGAGCGCCGGCCCCGGGGCGCAGGCAGGGTGCAGGGGACGGTGATGGGTGCAAGGGGGACCCTGGGTGGGAACCCGAGCTCTCATCACTGCTCCAGCCTGGGTGGCTGGCTGGGACCAGGTGGGGACAGAGGTGCCCTTGGGTGCTGCTGCTCCTCCTGTGCTGGGCAGCCTGTGTTAGTGACAGCTGAGGATGAGGAGGGACCAACAAAGGGTGTTAGGGGTCCTCGAGAGCACAGTGCCCAGTCGATCTCCCCCAGCTTCCCCATCACCTCCAGCCAGAGCTCTCATGTCTGTCAGCCGAGTCTGTGCTTGCAAACACCTTTCCTTGGGCTGCTTCTCTCACGGGGCCCTTCCCCAGGGGTGCGCTCTGCCAGGCCCTGCCTTCCCCCGTCCCTGCCTGTCCCGTGGCTGTGCCCGGCTGTGGGGCTCCATCCCTGCTGCTCTGCCATGGCAGGGCTGCCCCCTCCCTAGGCAAGTCCTTGCCCCAGTGTGGGTGCCAGGGGCTAGATGTGCCGCTGCTGGCGGTGGGTGCCTGATGGAGCAGTGTGGGATGAGGAGCTGCTGCTTGGGACCATCACAGTTGCTTGGGGACGGGGACAGGCTGAGGACCTGTGCTGCACTCTGGTGCTGGCCCGGCAGGGCAGGAGGGCACGGGTACTTAGGCCAGCATGTTTCACTGGCCGCTCGTCCTGCACCAAAGCCTCATTGTTCTGTTCTCAGCCCCAGTACATGGTGGCCCTGGCTCCCGCTACCCCCAGGCCTGGGCTCTGGCCATCAGGGTTTGGGGCTGGCTCTGATGCCCACAGCCCCCAGCAGTGCTTGCCTGGGAGCAGGGCTGCTTCCAGCCTCACTTCTTCACATAGGCACCCATGGCTGGGGGTTGGAGGCAGTTGGGCTTTCTCTTGCCGTGGTCCCAGGAGCAGCCCTTGTTGCATCCACCCCCCTGCAAGGTAGGAGCAGCAGCCTTCCTCCTTCCCCTATCCTACCAGCTCCTGAGCAGGGCAGTGCCTGACTGCCCCTTCCATCTCTTTGCCACCTCTTGGTATCTGCCTGCCCCTGCCACCTCCTCCTGACGCAGTGCCCTTCTGCCTGCTCATCCCCTGGGCCATCCAATGAGGCACCCGCACTTGGTGGCATGTTGTGGGAGCAGCTGGATGCCCTGTGCCCTCCGCCGTGCCCACTACATGGATGCAGCCAGTGTGGCGTGGCCTGAGCCTGCTGGCAGCTCGGAGGAGCCCTGTGTTGCTACTGGCCATTTTCCTCAGGCTCAGGGCAGGGCTCTGCCCTCACATTCCTCGGGAGACTCCAGGGCTCCAGCTGGCCCATGCACATGCCAAAGCACTACAGAGGAGCCCAGAGCAGGGTAGGCCAAGCTCATGGCCACAAGACTGGGATAGGGACTGGACACGAGCCCAGATGCTGGTAGCAGGAAAAGGGCACTTGATGGCAGCAAGTACTGCAGCTGCAGGTAGCGCGTCACCTCCCCGCTCTGATCGGGGTGAGGGCAGGGCTGCTCCAACCCCATGCTCCTCCACCCTGGCTGAGTGCTGTAGCACAGGCACTGGCCCCGTGTGTGGTGCCTGTGGGCACGGGGTGAAAGGCAGCGGGCTGTAGCCAAGACACAGCGCTGCCTTCCCCAGGTGCAGCCCTGCCCAGCAGCAACCCAGACACTGCTCTTTCCCTGCCATTGTTACCCGAGGTCCCACAATACAGCCCCTGGTTGCATTCAGCCACCCTTGGGAAACGTGTCCAGCCCAGGTCCCCTGCCCCGCCCAGCCCAAGCCCCCACTGGGTGCGGCCGTAAGAACATCCAAGACCGGAGCCCGCTTCTTTCACAGTCCAACGACTGATGTGAGCTACAGCACTCCAGCCTGCGTGCGCAAAAGGGCTTGGGGCACTGGGACCGGCTCTGGAGACCCCCTCCAGGGCAGGAGGCAGGTGTGGGCAGGGTCCTAGCTCTGTGGGGATGTGTCCGCCTACAGGAAAGGGAGCTGGAGGTGATGCACGAGTGCCTGCTGCTCCTGCCCCTGTGCAGCTCCCTGCCACCACAGTCTGCGCTCTGCTCTGCTGAGCCAGCAAGAGCGCTGGGCCCCCTCCTCCGGGAAGCAATAACACTGCTGGCAGGGCTGCTCCTGGGCAGGCAGGCAAAAAAACTCCTCTCAGGCTCTCACCCTGCAGCAATGCCCACTGCTAGCACAAGGTGACTTTTTTTTCTTCCAAGCAGCGGCTTTTGTGGCACAAGCTCACATGACATCAGGGCTGTGACCCACCCCTGTCAAGGCACGAGGCCAAGAACAGCACTGGGGGGATTCTGGCACTTGCTTCTTCCTTGTTGGTACCACCACTGCCAGCAGCCCCCCAGCAGCAGGAGTCGGATGGAGCCGCAGTCGGTGATTCTGCCACTGGCACTTTGCTGGGATCCTGCAGGTGGCGGTGGCCCCAGGCTCCGACACGAGGGAGGCAGAGGAGCAGGCTGCCATCGCTGCCCCACAGGCAGGCTCACACTGTCCTCGCTGTGAGGGGAGGGTGTTTTGGTGCAATAATTACCCCTGCACTACGGGAAGCCCCGTTCAGTTCCTTTTTACCTACCTGTCGTTGCATGTACAGACCAAATCACCAACAGTGTGGTTGTGCTTTGGAGAGACATTTCACTTTTTCTTTCCAGCCCCCAACCTTAGACCACCTGTCCTTTGGGTTACACCACCTCTGTTCCAAGTGCCACCTGCCCTCCCAGTGCTGGGAGCGTGTCGATGCAGTATTCCACGAGCAGTGTGGGGCACGCACAGCTTGCACTCGAACTGGGGATTGTTTTTTTTGTAATTAATGTACTTGAAGGCTTTCCGAGCCCCCCGTGGAGTTGTACTGTTGCTGTACTGTGAGCTAAGTGTCCTTGTTTTCTATGTGGATCTTGACCCTGGCTTGCTGTCTCACTGGGCTGGATGACACTGTATGTTGCCTCTTTTCTCCTTCACCCTTTCCCTCCCTGCTAGCCTCCCTTTCTTCTCCCAAAGCTTTGGGTGCAAAACAGCTTCCCATTTTGTGGAATTTTTATGTAGAATAAACATTTGTAACTGTAAAGCTCTGGCTGGCACCTCTCTGTTTCAGGGGAAGGGAGGAGGTGATGGGGAGCAAGGGCTGGGGTACAGAGAACCCCAGCACCCTGGCAACACTAAAGCATACAGGGTAGGCCTGATGCGAAGCGCCCACAGGAGTAATCGCCACAGGAATAACACTTCTGCCAGGAGGAAGATTTGCCCTCATGGGACACACCTGTATACTACCTGACTCCCTGCCTGTGGGCAGAGGGGAAGCTGGCAGGGAACTAGGTGCTACCTAGTACTCCCCTGCACTGAGGGGCAGGACACAGAAGACCAGCAACACTTCTGACTCATTGACTGTTTAGTGAGGAGGCTGGATATAAAGTTCTGGCTCACCTGGAGCTCCAGATGGCTCGCTGCACTCTCAGGAAGATAAGCAATGGCATTGCAGACACCAAGTGGCCAGAGCACTGTCTGCCACTCTACCTTCACCAGAAAAACAGGGCTGGAAGCTTTGCAGTTGGCTATTGGGCAGCACCTGAGCCAGTTTACACCTGCAAGAGCCACAATGACCTGTCCCAGCAAGTCCCAGGCCTGGGGTGCCCATCTGTGCCATCCACGGGAGGCTCACTGGAGGGACTAACACACCATCTTCCACACCAGCAGTGTCCAGAGCAATTCAGAAGCGAGGGCGGCGCTTTCGACCCGTGTATTTCGTGTCTGCTCGCACTTCCCTGTGGAAAAAAGAAGAGAGCAACTAAGCACAATCCACAGGTCATTCTGGGAGGGGAAGGGAAGCAGGTTCGTGGCAGGAGTTTGAACGGGTGACAGCAGGCCAGACCAGCACAGTCGGCCTCAGCTGAAGCAGGACCCAGCTGAACTTACTTGCCCTGTCGTCGTCTACGCTCTTTCTTCTCAAGGATCCAGTCCCGGCTTTTCTTCACAGACTTACCCTTGGCGTTTCTGAACCGTGTCCTACAGAGAAAGCAGACAGCAGCTGGAGAGGAACTGAGGTGGGGGGCACGGTTTTCTGCCCTGGAGGATTGCCACCCGGAACTGGGCATGCCCTCTGCCTCATAAAACCAGAGAGTACCCCGCCCACCACCCCTGGGATGAAAGAGGCTCAGCCAGCACTGGGGCAGGTGGCCACAGTCCCAACCGCAGATGCACTGGGGGAGGAGGCTGCTTTCAGCCCCAGCTCTGAGCCGAGGGATACCTACCCTTCATGGGCTGCAAGCAGGCCAGCTCTCCCCTGTGCCATGTCTGACACACCAGCAGCACGCTGGGATCTGGGATCTTGGGGGAATACGGGCTTAAGCACAACCACCTTCTCCTTGTCTGCTCTACTCCGAACAAAGCAGACAAAGCCTCTGGCTTCCCAACAAGTTGCCAGTTCTGCTATTGCCCTCCAAGACCAGGTACCCCCTGGACTAAGTGAGCAGAGAATAGCACTGTGAGAGGCAGGAAAACATGGCAGCTACAAGCTCCTGGCAGCCACGACGACTTTCCTCTGTTTTTTGTTCTCTGTCTCTCCCACTGGCTGCAAGAGGGGCTCCTCCCTGCACCACTACTGTGGGAGGAGACCTGGTCAGCAGGAGAAACCCCCAGGCCACAGCTAAGCAAAGCTAAGCAAAGAATTTGACAGCAGAAGAAATGGAACACCAGGCTTCAGGCACAGCAGCCTGCCTCCCCAACAAAAAAAGCCATGCTTGGCATCACCAGCACTGCAAGCATTCCACCTGCCATCACCACTGGCCTACACTACAGCGCTGAGCTGGAGAGCCAAGTGCCG